ATACACACACAACAAAGTAAAATACACACACAACAAAGTAAAATACACACACAACAAAGTAAAATACATGCACAACAAAGAAACAAAGCATAGATCTCTACAGTATGTCACAATGTGTCCTACAGTATATCCCTCAGTTCAAACATCTTCACTTGCAAATGTTCATTGCAATGAGTCATTGGTCTGGTTCAAAGTCTCTGGCTATTGTGACACCCCCAATACTGTATCTTTATTAGGGCTCCTCCAGGTTATCCTGTTGTTGATCAGTGGAGATCCCACAGCTTTGAAACAGCAAGATTGGCTCTTTCATATATCGGAACTGCTCACTGATGATATAGATTTGAGGAGGGCCAACTCAGAAACCTGGATTTGGGCCTGCATGATAGTTGAACTAGTCAGTCCACCAGCTCTCCTTTAACCTAATCACCCTGGTGAGTTCCCAACACTGTCCTTGCCACCAAATGCCACCATCAGCAGAAAGCATGATGAGCTCTTCTGTAATCATGCTTTGGGGCCAACGCACTTATACCCAGGCCTCCAGATTCAATTCCACTCTGCTGCCCAGTCATAGCACAGGGCCTACTCTCCCCCTTGCTACAGACTGTAAGGGGCTCAGCCAGCTCTACTGTACTCACACCATTGGGGCTGCCTCACTCCTGCCTTTGATAAAAGTCTAGCTCCACTGAGTTCCCTAGGTGAGGTGAAGGATCCTCTCTCCTGAGTACTACAGCCAGTGAGGGGACAGGGATAGTTCCCTGGCTCTCATGAACTCAGCTTCCAGATCTACAGGCTACTGCAGGTGACTAGCAGGGAAAGGGAGGGAATCTCCCATGTACCCACTCCACCTCATGCCAGACAAGTAGCAGGCCCAGCACTCTCATTCTGGTATCCTAAGGAGGGCCTGCTCACAGGTGCATCTTACACCAGGGCTAGCTCTACCATACTGCCCAGATAAAGAACAGGGCCTGCTATCCAAAGTGCTGCAGCTATAGAGGGGCATGGCCAGATCACTTGCTCTTATTAGCTCAAACCAGTTCTCCCCACTGCTGTAGGTATGTGCCCCATAGCCACACTAGCTCATAGCAGACAATTGGTAGGCTCAGCCCTCCCATTCTCTCATCCTTTTACCTTTGGGGCTGGCTCACCAAAGTCCCCACCACCAGAGCCATCTCTACTGTGCTACCAAGGTGAGGTGTAAGGTAGGTTCTATCCAGTGAGTGCTGCAGTTGGTGATGGACAGGACTAGCTCTCCTGTGCTCATGACTCTGTGGTCAGCTTTCCTGACTGCCAGAGGTGGCAGAGGGCATGGAGAGCATCACCTCTATGTATATGCAACCCCACAGCAGACAAGTAGCTGTATCATCTCTTCTACACTCATGCCCTTGAGGCTAGCTCAGCACTGCCGCCTCTAATGGGACCAGCTTCACTTTGTGGCCTGGTTGAGGTTTAGGACCCATTCTCCCAAGTGCTACCTAAGTAGTGAGAGATGGAACCAGCTTTCTAGAGTGCTGCATCCAGTGAAGGGTGGGGCCAGTTATACCAGAGCTCCGGAACATCCACATGGTCCCGAAGGCTGCCCCATCAAGGGAATTCTTATGTTCTCTAGTATGACCCAAGGACATTGATACTGATCTCTGATGAGTCACAGATTGAAACTTGGCACTCTATGGCAGCTCACACAGAGATCTCATCATGTCCCCAGGTGGCAGGGCTGGCTACTCACAACAAGCTACTCCTCTCCATCATCAAGTCTTCAATTCCATCTCTCTTCATAATGTTCAAGCTGTTGAACTCCCTCCTTGCCCACTGACAACATATACTCACACATTGTGTTGACTCAACAGCAGATTGGCCATGCAACAGGCAGGTCCTTTTGTCAGTGCTTTGTCTATGACCCTTTTTAAAGGCAGGTCTGTGGGTGGCATGTGGTCCACAGGCATCTGTCTGTTTTCAACCCCCTGTGATGTGCTGCCTGGATTTGATTTGACTCTTTGAGTCCTGGGCATAAGACATGCGTGGCCATCAAGCCAGGAATTAATCTAGGATGAATAAAACTGCCGTTTGCTCTGCCCCTGACTAACATAAGAACACCAACAACAACCAGTTGTCTCTTTCCCTATTTCCTAGTCTCTACTCCCTAGCCCACCCCGACCCACACACACATAATGTAGATCTCTTTCTAAGTATGGCTTGTTTTCTTTAATAAAAAGATCTATTGTTCCATCTATTTTCCTGAAAAGGAAAATTTTTTCTTCTTTGTAGCTGAATACTAACTACTTCACTCTATAAGTATATTACAATCTCATTATCCATTCATCTGGTAATAGACATCTATTTCAATCCCATGCTGTGGTCATTGTGAATAGTCCTTGAGTCAATTTGGATAAGTGATTAGCTCTGTTGTAGAATGATGATGTATATTCTATTCAATCAGCTCTCTGGGTCATATGGCAATTCTATTTTTAGTTTTATAGGATATATCATTCTGATTTACATAGAGGAATCAATCATTTCATAATTTCTCAATGTATTTCACATGAGTAATGTGTAACATATTCACATTATGTTTTCTTTCTTTGGAGCAGGAGACACCCTAGATGAGTCTGGTTTCTGTCAATCCTCTGTATTCAGTATAGCAAGTCAGTGGCAGTTGAACTGCCATTACTATGGAATAGGATATTCCTCCAGTATTAAAGTATTGAGTTCTCACAGTTGTGATTTTTTTCACATATCTTCATTGCACTCTGTGATAAAAGAAAGAAAAAAATGCATTTGAGAGGATAATGCTAAACAATAAGGTTGTAAGTGTGTGTTTGTGAGTGTCTGCCTGTATGTGTGTATGTATGTATGTATGTATGTATGTATGTATGCACGTATGTATTCTGCATGTATGTGAGTACCTACCGAGGCCAGAAGAGGGCATCAAATCCCAGGGAAAATACAGTCAGAACCGCATGACATGGATGGATACTAGAAACCAAATTCAAAGCCTCTGCACAGGAATCAAATGCTCTTGACCATTCAATCATCTGTTGAAATCCAAGCTGCTATCACAGCTACCTTCTGCATTATTAAACTTGCAAACATGATAAAAATATATGTGAAAAGACAAAAGTAAATGCACATTGTCTTTTAATAGTGTCTCAATCAAATTGTTTCTTCTATTGCTATATGATTTTAAGGCATTTCACCATAATGCTATTCTACATGAAATCATAAGAATTCTAAACCAGTGCAGAGCCTAGTGAGTGAAATGTGACCTATATCAAGCATGGCCAAAGAATAAATTTTAGGGTATGAAAAGATAATATTATTCTTATACATTTCCTCCAAAAATACAACATAAGCAATAGTTGTAAAGACAAATCTGTCACTAAGAAAGAGACACAGAATCAGATAGAAGTTTAGAGACAACATACATAAATTAGATAAAAATCTATTTATCATGTAAACTCCAATGTTTCTAATTCAGGAGGGCCTGAGAACAAGAAATACTGTATTGATTTAAGCTTCTATATGTTTTGGACTATGTGTCCTGGGGTTGTAAGATGTAGGCACAGTCCTGCAGTTATTTTGTGTGTCTAGATGACATCAGGTTTCTAGAAAATGCAATAGGAAAGATTTAGTTTCAGACTGATAGGAAGGAAGCAAAACCTGTACTTCTGTATTAAAATGTTTTGAACAATTTCCTTTCAAGTAGTAGCTTCTGACATACTAGTGACTCAGTGACCAACTGAGCAGAACTGAATATTATCTGTTGGGTTGTGTCCAACAAGACATAAATTTAGGTCTGTAAGCCAGCTAGCTATCATTTGAAGGAAATGACACACTTGAGATAATGACAGAGCGTAGTGAAGGTCTTATGTAAATTGGGTGAGTTAAGTGTTTGATTTCCCCTGTCACCTACTGTGATTACACCAACCTGCTCCTTCAACTCAGACATATTGCCTCTGTGCAACTTTCCCCATACTGAGCTGCCTCAACAGCTACAATCTCAAGCAGGCCAATGGAAGGGTTAGCATGATAAGCTCTAACAGGCCATGTGGACTGTATGTGACTGAAAAGATAATGGTCTGGGGAAATTCTTCCATTGAGCAGAGCCTAAAACAGAGCCTGCAAAACTCATGTTCGGTGTATTAAAGTGGTAGGCTGAGATCTTCTTTTATTCAGGCGTCTGTGTAGTGTCAAGAATAATTCGGTTCCACCAAAGGTTTAACAGAAAAGTACTGAAATACTACAGGCAAGTAGGCACAAGAAAACATATATAAACAGGTCTGTGGACATGAAGTCATATGCACATGTCCTTCTGTCACATATTCTAGTGGGCATGAACATATCATGTCCCTATTTTTCCTCAAGAAAAGAGCTCATTAAGTCACTTGATGCTAGTGTTTCCAAAGCTAGCCCCCAGAATCTTTCTAGTGTCAGAATACTTTATTCGAGACTCCTAAAGTCTCACCAAAATCCTTTCCTCACCTACTTGTATTCTCATGTTGTTTGTCAACCCAAGACCTTTCAGGCTGGATAATGGGTCATTTAGAGATTTCATATGACTCTGTACTCTAGGTTGATGAGGTATGGATCTAAAGCTATATTATTAAGCAGCTATTTCTAGAAAAGATTGTTTGACTGAAAACTTTCTGGCAAGATGGATCTTACAACATTTCTCTTACCTCCTCTGCAATGTATACAAACTGTAAAACAAATTCACTGGGTTGTGTTTACATACACCCATATGTAAGAAATACAGTCAATGAAAAAGAGGCTATATTTTGAACATGACAGAGCATAGGAGTAGTTCCATGGAGGATAGCTGGGAGAAACTGGAGGGAGGAAACAAAGGGAAGGACAATAGTGATATAATTAAAAATCTGTCATGGTGGTGCACACCTTTACTCCCAGTACTCATGAAGCAGAGGCAGGCAGATCTCTGAGTTCTGGGTCATCCTGGTCTACCTACAAAGCAATGAGTTTCAGAACAGCCAGAGGTACTAGAAACAAACAAGCAAACAAATGGGGAACAAAACAAGTTAAAAATGTATTACTAACTATGATAGTGTGATGCATACTTGTAACTTTATAGCACCTGAAAGGTGTGGAGAATTTTAAGATCAAGGCCAACTGGGACTCATAACAAGATCATGGTTAGTTTGGGCTCTGGATAAAAGATACTATCTCAAAATTAAGACATAAATAGACATTTAAAAGTTATTATCAAGTTTTCTATTGTCTAACCAGAGTTTAAAAAGTATGGGTGCTGAAATGGCTGTGGAGTGAAATATAGAGTTTGACTTTTTGCTTAGGTTGTCTTCACCTTGCTTAGGTGTGAGGAGACTTTAATTATCAACATAATCTAGCCTCATCTGGGGAAGTCTAATTAGGGAAAGGCTGGAATAAGTTGAGAAGGAAGGCAACCCCACAGGAAGAACAGCAGTCTCAACAAACTTGGACCCCTGAGATCTCTCAGACAACGAGCCACCAACCAGGCAGCATACACTAGCTTGTCCAAGGCCCCCAATACATATACAGCAAAGGATTGCCTGGTCTGGCCTCAGTGGGAGAAGATGTGACTAACCCTCAAGAGTCTTGAGGACCCTGGGAGTAGGAAGGCCTGGCAGTTGGGGGAGGGGAGGCATCCTCTTGGAGACAGGGGAGGAGGAATAGGATGAGGAACTCTGGGAGGATGGACCAGGAAGGGGGTAATAACTTTAAAAAATAAAAGTAATAAAAAAAGCAAAAAGTCACCTAACAAATACAAATGAAACATTAAATTTTACAGAGGGCAAGGTCAAACTCGTGTCACTAAAATAGAAGCCTTAGGAGGGATTATATCTTAGCATTTGTTTGCTATAGATTTCTCCTTCTGATCTGTAACTCCTGATTCACTAATATCTACATACAATAGCTTGGTTCTTCAAACATGATAAGCACATCTCAATCTTACTATTTTTATAACTGTCTTTGAAGGACTTTTCTTCAGGGCTTCACATGGCTTCCTCCATTATTTCTTATGTGTATGAACACCAATTCTCTGTGCTGATGCTTCTGAAATTGTGCATCTGTCCTAATCCTTCTCCCCCGCCACTGCTTTGTTTGTACTAATCACCACGGACCATGCTATCTGCTTTTACAGATGCATCAGATGATAAGGATGAACTTCTCTACTCTGACTCCTGGAAGCACGAATTACCAGAAGAGTAATGGCTTTCCCTGCCAAGGTCACACAATGATCAATCTTTTGAAATGGCAAGACTCAGAATGCAAGTTCTCATCACACAGAAGACTGATACCCATTTTACTCTCAAATCAGTACCACTGTCAGGAAGAACAGGACTGAAGTCAGACTCACGCTCTGTCAATTTGCTCTTCTTGTCTTTTTCCTGAATGTGGCATAGATGTATTCTGAGATTCCTTAATGATGGAGTTGAAATCCCCATGGTTACAGTTAGAGTCTAGTTTGCCTGGATCTATTCACTGCCTTAGTATAAAAATGGTCAAGAGGGCACCCATTTAAACACTAATAACCCAAGCCCTATAGACCTCATATGTGTACTGTTAGACCATTTTTACTTATTTTTCAGACTATCTATTTAAAATGAATTCACAGATTTTTTTTCATTATTTTATAATGAGAACCAAGGATATGCCTATGAACAGAAAAGCTAAATAACTGTGACAGTATTCTTCATGCCCACTGAACTCCAACTGCTAATGGTCACAAAGGATGCTATGACACAACATCTGATTGATTTTTAATGGGACCAACTTAGGGGAATAGAGGAAAGAGTTAAACAGAATGATGGAACACCAGCAAAATACTAGACCCTGAAATTAGATCAATAAGCATTTACATATAAAAGATAATAAAAACTCTCCTGGACTGTAAAAAGAACAAGGATACAAAGACTGCAGCTCCTAGTTTGGGTGTGACATAAGCTACATGTGTCATCTAAGAGAGTATCTCTGTGATAGTTAAGCATCCTGGACAGATTTCAGGTTTCTAAGAAAGAAAAGATGGTGGCCAGACAAAATGGAAGATACAGATATGTGATAAACACAAAACTCTAGGATGAGATGCACAGTGGGGGAACATTTCATACAGTCTCTGCTTAATAATAATGTGTTTCCTT